TAAGAGAGATCGAGATTTGAGAGAGATTTAAGCGAGATTAAGAGAGATTAAGAGAAATTGAAAGAGAATGAGAGTTTTGGGGTGAGGAAAATGGTTGGGGGAGGGGGTATTTATAGGAAAATTTTTGGGTTGAAAAAAAAATCTTTTCCCCCAAAAATTCGAGTCCAACGGCTACAAAATTTTCGGGCAGGTCGGGCAAAATTCAGGCAGTTCGGGCAACGGATAAAAATATGACCGTTTGGTTCAAAAATTCGGGTTCGGGTTCGGGCACAAGGCCATTTCGGGTTCGGGTTCGGGCAAAAGACCATTTTTTTTCAAAATTCAAGCATTTTCGGGCTAACGGTAAAAAAAATCGGGCATTTTTCGGGCACGGGTCGAAATTCAGGCAACGGTCACAAAAAATTCGGGTAATTCGGGCAAAAATTCGGGCAGTTCGGGTATTTGCCGGAAAATTCAAAAAAAATCCGACGAACGGCGGGGGAAGGCTTCTCCACGGCGGCGGGCTGTCGGGGGGCTTGCCATTTTCGGGCTACCCGAGCCCGTGCCCGAAGAAAAACATTTTCGGGCGGCGAGAGGGGCCTGCCCGCCGTACCCGAAAATTTTCGGGCATCGAGCATGCCCGCCGCCCGAAAGCCCAACACTAGTTAGTATGTTCTTTTTTATTTTACCTTAAATTTTTTATTTTTTTATTTTAATTTTTGTTTTTTACTTTTTTAGGCTCCTTGCCTTAAAACTTTAATATTTTTTCATTTTAATTTCTCTTTAGAATTTTATATTTTATATTTAATATTTTAAATAATATTATGATAATTAAAACTTAACACTCCATACATGTGAAGTTCAACTAGTAAAAAAAAAAAGAGATTGTGAATAAACACATCCTAAAAATAGTCATTTATTTAGGTTCTATTTATTTCGATTTGATTTTAGAATTTAAATTTTGTTACAGTAAAATTTTTTTAAAAATAATTACATTTAATTTTTTTATTACAGTAAAAAAATTATTATATAAAATTACATCTCAATTCAAATTAAAAATTCAAATACTAAATGAATATTTATTTTTGCCCGGAATAAATGACGTGTAAGATGATCTAGGGCACCTTCAAAATTAAAAAAAAGAAAAAAAAGAAAAAAAAGGCATATGATCTAAGGGGGAGGGAGGGGGCGAGGTATATCCGGTGGAGACGGCAGGCTATCTGGCGACGATTGGTGCGCGCAGCTGAATCGACCCGCTTCCGGCGGCGAGAGGGCCATCAATCAAGCACTCCGACGTGTTGAAACCTCTTTCCCAGGCGGTAAATACAAGCAAAGCAAAACCCACCCCGCGGGTTTTAGCGCTGAAGACCCCACACCCGCATTTCTTTGTATGCCTCCTCCCACAATTTCCTTCAACTAAAACAACAACAATAACAAGAACCATGGAGGTTTTCCTTAAACCCCATTACACCATTAACAAGACCCTCAAGCCTTGTTCTTGTTATGCTCTGGCTCTGCGGTTGGGCTTCGTCGTGAGGAAGAAATATTACTGTAAGTTCGTAAGGAGCTTCTTCCGAGACATGGGTTCTAACTATAAGGCCTTTTCAGGGACCGCTTCTGATCGGCCAAAGAGTCTCAGGGAAAAGCTCGGTCTTAACACTAGTACTACTACTTCATTGGGGTCTTCAAACCAGCAACAGGTTTGTTTCTTGTTTTTTGTAATTCGGTTATTGGGTTCTTTATATTGTTTTACAATATCATTCTCCTTAGCATGATTTAAATGTTGGGTTGCAGTAGTTAATTTGCGGTTTTGTTGTCCCATTTTTTAAATAAAAATCAAAATAAAATAAGAAACATTTATATTGGTTTCTCAGTGAAAATAGTACATGGTAATGCATTGTTTTTCTTAAACGTGCCTCTACAAATATGATTGTTGTGATCTGGGGAAAATCAAAATTCACTTACCAATTTTGTTTTTTTTTTTTGGAGGTTCTATTCTTTTTAAGAGCAAATTGAGAAACATGACAAGTATATTTGTGCACTGATCGTAGACTCCATGAACATTGGATTTGCATTAACATTCTTTTGGCGACTGTAGTTGCCAAGTGATGTCACATTTTATGCATATTAGTTTATCTTGTGATTTTTCTAGATAAAAGACGTAACTGCTCTTCGTGGTTTCCGCTTTCAGTGTGATTCAACCCATCAAAACATTGAGGAATGGAAAAAGAAGTTAACAATGTTGCTTCGTAATGAAGATCAACAAGAACTGGTGTCAAGGGAGAAAGAGGACAGACGTGACTTTAACCAAATTTCTGCACTTGCAACAACAATGGGTCTGTATAGGTATCTTGGTTTTCACTTATCCCACCATGTGTTCGTTTGTTTCCATTCCTCATTTTATGTTTTTGTTTCAAAATGTGAATAAGTTACCATATAAACAACTTTTGCAGCCGTCAATATGCCAAAGCAATTATCTTTAGTAAATTTCGTCTACCAAACTACAGACCTGATTTGGATGATATGCGCCCACAGAGAGAGGTATTTTTCTAGAATACTTGCACGCTTTGTTTCTCATGTTTTAAACCTTTGGTGAATACTAGCTTCCGACTTACTTTGGAGTTTGTATGGGCTGGAATTCACGGCAGTACTAGTTTTGCATATTGAAGTTGCCTAAGTTTTTTGTTTGACTTTATTATATCTTAAATCACTAACTGTAGGTGATCATACCTCTGGAACTGCAATTACAAGTACATGATCTTATAAGAGCCCATATTTCTAAGAAGCCAACAAGTAGGGAAATTTTATCGGATAATCCCTTATTGAGATCAAGCAGCAGCAATAGAAGTTTAGCCATTAAGGATCTTGATGAGCAGCAGAGGAGTTTGGTCCATAATAGTAGTGCCAATGAGAAAATCCTACTGCGTAAAAGTTGGATTCTGCGTTGTCAGCAACAGGAATGGCAGGTCACTTTTTCTTCTTTCTTCTCTTTTACATTTTTTCAGTCATTCTACAAGTCCTTTCACATTTTAGTGTATTTCTGCAGGAATCTCCTGAAGGTCAAAAGATGCTGGAATATCGCAGAAGTCTTCCTGCATATAAAGAAAGAGACGCTTTGTTAAAAGCAATATCAGAAAATCAGGTCAGCCAGGATTGTAAAAAGTTATTGATTGATTAATTTATTATGGTTTGTTGCTTTTGCTTGCTTATAAGCTCAGATGACTTCTTTTTTTTTTTTTTTCTTTTCTTTCTTTCTTTCTTTCAGATGAGTCACATTCTCTTGGGATTTTTCAGTCCAATAGTTTTGTTTTTCTGGGCTCTTAATCATTGATTGTCAATCCACTTAGCATTTCGTTATTACTTAATCATCTTTATCTGTTAGAGTCATCAAAGCCTTCAGAAGAAGGTGGTTGTTGGTTTCCCTGTCAACTTAATAATTTTGCAACAACTTATATTTTTAAATCTTATATATAATGTATATAATAAATTGGGATTAAGGCTTGTTGTTGTTGTTGTTTGTTGTTGTTGTATACATAATGTATATAATGAGTTCTCTTTGAAGAGAGGGGGAAATAGTTAAAGGAAGGTTTTATAACTAATGCTGCTTATTGCTCTGTGCAGAATATATTTACGAGGTCTATTTTGATTTTATAGTTGTGTGTGGTTGTTCTTTTAAATATGAACGATGTTTTGATAATGTTTGCATAAATTGAAGAAAGTTTACTTTTATTTTTGACTTATTTTCTTCATTTTTTATATTATGACTAGGTTGTTATTGTGACGGGCGAAACTGGTTGTGGTAAAACAACACAACTTCCCCAGTACATTTTAGAATCTGAGGTTGAAGGTACTCGTGGAGCTCTCTGTAGTATTATATGCACCCAACCTAGACGGATATCAGCAATGACTGTTTCTGAACGAGTTGCTGCAGAACGGGGAGAGCCACTAGGGGAGTCTGTGAGTTTTTGTATTTGACTGTTGAAGAAGTTGGGTTCTTAACAAAGTTTAAGTGCATCAGTGATCTTTATATTATCATTTGTCTTAAGGGGATGTTTGTTTCACAACTCAAATTAAGAACTTGAGTTGTGTAGGTTGAGAAAAATATTGTAATAAAAAAGTTAATTTGAATTTGGACAAATTTTATAAATTCCTCTTGAACTTTGTCACTTGTGTCAACATGCCCCTTGAACTTTTAAATGTGTGTGTTGTGCCCCCTGAACTTTGTCACTTGTGTCAACATGCCTCCTGAGGTTAACTCTGTTAAGTTTTTTAACGGGAATGCTTATAAACACCCCTTGAACTTTGTCACTTGTGTCAATATGCCCCATGAACTTTAAAATGTACTTGTTTTGCCCCTCGAATTATGATATGTCTCTAACTTTTCTCCCTCCATCTTGATTCTATCAGTTTTTTGAATGAAAATGTTGATATGACCATTAAATTGCTAATTATTTATGATATTTGACCATTAAAGTTTGTTAAGTTATTGGGTTTGTTAAGTTTTATATTAATTTTTTTTTAAAAAAGTACAATAAAATAAATGACCTGAACCTATTTAGATCTAGAAATGCTATATATGTATAAAGCATAAACATGTTTTATGTCAAGCACTTCTATCTACGTGAAATATTAAGAAAAAACGTAACAAAATTCATTACATATACGGATTTGCTCCTCATTTTTTTCCCTCTTTATTGTCTCCAATCAACTAGTGTTTTGAGAATTGGTGCTTAACTAATATTTTTAGAGGAGAAGGTATTCAATAAACCTCAAATTTTATAGATAATTAGCAATTCAATGGTCATATCAACATTTCCGTTCAAAAAACTGATAGAATCAAGATAGAGGGGAAAAAGTTAGAGACATATCATAGTTCGGGGGACAAAACAAGTCAATTTAAAGCTCAAGGGGCATATTGACACAAGTGACAAAGCCCCCTTCAGGGGGCATTCATAAACATTTCCTTTAAAAAACTTAACGGAGTTAACCTCAGGGGGCATGTTGACACAAGTGACAAAGTTCAGGAGAATTTATAAAATTTGTCCTTTGAATTTTTTGGGACAAAATACTGTAGCACTAGAACTTGAGTTGTGACTTGAGTTGTGAAAAAAACCATGCCTAAATTTTTTTAGTGCTTGTCTATATGTGTATGTGTGTGCTTAATTTTATAATGATTAATATGTTGCCTCCCTCGCTTTTGAGTAAGTAAAATTCCCCCTCTTGAAAAAAGGTAGGTTACAAAGTTCGGCTGGAAGGAACGAAAGGCAGGGATAATCGTCTTCTCTTTTGCACTACTGGTATATTGTTAAGGAGGTTAATCAGTGATAGAACCTTGAGAGGTATTTCCCATGTTATTGTTGACGAGATTCATGAACGTGGAAAGTATGAAGGTAGGCATGGAATTCTCTTGAGGTTTGTTTACTAGTATTTTACATTTGATTTAACCTTACTTTTTCAATTTATGCTAGATTTCCTTCTTATTGTCCTGAAGGAACTTCTTCCTCGCCGACCAGAGTTGCGGGTGATTTTGATGAGCGCAACCTTAAATGCTGAGCTTTTCTCTTCCTACTTTGTTGGCGCTCCAACAATCCATATTCGTGTAAGTTTAACATTCTATTTTCTGTTCCTTTACTTGTCCTTGCTTTTATAGGATACATTATCGTCTTCCCCTTTACTTGTGCAATATCAATATAAGGCCTTTTCTTAAACAAAAAAAAAAATCTATTTTCTATTCCATTTTCGTAATTGTTGCTCGAATGATACTGACCTCTCTCTTTTTTTTTTTCCTCCCTTCTTTGATACAAGTAACGGAATATATTGATGATCAAAAAAATAAGTACAAGAAAAGAGGAAGAGATTTCCTTAAAATATCTGACCAGAAAAGGTCATTATCATTTTCAAATGATAACCTCTTAAATGAGCATTGATGGTAGAGTTCTGAAATGTAAAAATTTTCTTAGGAATAGTAGATTTAGGGTTCTGAAATGTAAAAATTAATTGTAGGAACTAGTAGATTTTAGACGTGTTTCATATTTTCTTTTCCTCTTCCTCTGTGTTTTCTTTCCCTCCACTTTCTAATATTTTCACATGTAATCTTTCTATCCTCGAAGGGAGCCCCAACCAGCCACCAGGCACCCCACCTTTTCTCCCTTCATTTCTCCCCTATAAATTTTTTTCTTTTTATTGACATGAATTAAAAGAAAGAAAAAAACAATTACAGTGAAGAAAACATGCAGAGGATGCGTAAGAAATTTTTTTATCTTTTTACAATAAAATTTTGTTTCTTATAAAAAAAATTTAAAGAAGAAAAAAAATAAAGGACTTGGTCTTCATATATGGGCTCACTTTTATATTGAGCGTTTGCCTTATGCTCAGGGTTTTACGCACCCCGTGAAAGTACATTTTTTGGAGGACATTTTGGAAATGACGGGATATCGGTTAACTCCACAGAATCAAATTGATGATTACGGTGAAGAAAACATGAGGAGAAAGCGTAAGAAAGGCATGTCTCTAGGAAAACGAAAAAGCTGGATTGCTTCTTCCGTCGAGGTATCAATAGATCGGCGACTTTAGAAATTCATTAGAAAATAAAAAATTTAGGGAATTTTAATCCTTACCAACTTGATCTTGATGCTCCGGACTGGACAACAAACATGCACGAACCATTTGATGAAGTATGTGTCAGGAATACCGGATAGTGCAAAGTCATCAATAGTATTTTAATTCTGGCTATTTTTCATTCTGTCCTGTGGGTTAAATCTTAACTTTTTATATGCTTGTGACAGGATACACTTAAAGCTGCCGACTTTAATGAGTATAGTCCAAAGACTCGGGTTTCCTTATCGTTATGGAATCCCGACTCAATTGGATTGAACCTTGTTGAGCATGTGCTTTGTCACATAGTTAGGAAAGAAAGGCCTGGTGCTGTTTTAATTTTTATGACTGGCTGGGGTGACATAAAAGCTTTAAAGGATCAGCTTCATTCTAATCCACTCTTGGGAGATCCTAGCAAGGCCTTGCTGCTTGCATGTCATAGTCTTATGCCCATCGATGAACAGGTGATATTACTGCTACCTCTTTACATTTACTCAATGCAAGTAATTATCTGCTTGCTCTGATTCAGTTCTAAGTTTCTGGAAGATTTTAAAATAGTTAAATATGTTGGAATATCTCAATGTAAAAATTGATTATGATACTTTTAGTTGGTTGAGAATTGTTTCAAAGAAAAAATGTTGAGGACTAAGTTGGGTTCAACAAGAGGAGAAAGAAGACTTGGAAAACTGCCTTTTGGGTTTGTGTTGGGCAATATGGTTAGAAAGAAATAAGAGGATCTTTGATGACTTGGAAGTGTCAGTGAAGTATGGGAAAAAGTAAAATTCTGAGTTGCAGTATAGTTGCATGAAGATAAAGACTTTAGTTGTTTGCAGTTTTCTGATTTGGGTAGGAAGTGACAATTATTGTAGTTTATTCATTTTTAATGCTTGTTCTGCCAGTTTTTCTGTTTAGTTTTTTTTTTGTTCACTTAGGGGATTTTTGGTACCTAGATTCGTTCCCTGATTCGAATCATGGTTCGTGATTCGCTACAGTATTTTTTCTCACAAAATAATTCTAATCACATGGTTCTAATCCATGAACCAAACGTCTCCTTATTATTCAGGTGGACATCTTTTTCTCCGGGCCTTCTACTTCATGATTCTTTTCGTATTAATGAAGTACCTTTTCTTTTAAGAAAAGGAAAAAACAAAAAGTTGTCATGTGTTTCTTTGGAGCTCTGGTCATGAGGCTTGCCTCGTATCTTGACGTTACTTCTCAGTAAACACTTTTTGTGGGATTCTCATAACAATAGTTGTACTTTTCTTTTTTCTTGTCTCTAGTTCCAACCTAAGTCAGCAAGTTAATCGGCATATATGTGCTCAGCTTTTCAAGGTCTTTTTCTGAAATAAAATCGGAAATTGCGCAAATTGGTAAGGGAGTTAAAGCTATAGTAAAACAAATTCTCTTCCCTTGTTGGTTTTATTTGTTAATCATTTGATGGGCCAATCAATAGTTTGTCATCAAAAGGGTGAAGGGGGATGGTAATTGGGCTTTCTAGCTTTTATGATTTTTATCAATAAATTGTTCTCTTTTTTTTTAAAAGAAAAAAAATTGGGCTTTCTATCAGGGGCTGAAGTCATTTATGTAGTGGAAATTCTCGTGTTGAGTGGTTTTTGCTATGTGGTGTTGACAATTTTATATTTTTCTTATTCTTATATATATGGTGGTTTGACCATTCTGCCTGCATCCAGTTAGAGATAAGCTGCCCATGAGCATCATGCTACTGTGCTATACGATGCATAAACTTTTGAATAAAAGTAAGAGAAGATATTTTTTATCAATCGAGTTCATAAAATTATATATGTAAGATTAGGATTTAGATCTAGATCTGTTACTTTTTGGGAACTCTACAATTAAACTGTAACGCCCCTCCCAAGCAAGTAGCTAAAAACAACGCCCGCTCGTGAGAAACGTTAACTAAAATAAATAATATTGTTTAATTGAGAAATAATATCTATCACAAATACAATCTTCGAACATAATTCTTAATATTACAAATTTCATTTCTTAAGATATCCTAACTTGTCATGGGACCTTAAATTATTCTTGCTCAGTCAACTGAAACTTCTATTTTAGCACTTACTTGCATCACGAGAACTATATGAGCGCAAGCTCAGTAAGTAAACCATAAATAATTTCCATTTTCAAATACTTTTCTTAAACATTTAGGGCCCTCTTGTATAATATTAATTTTGTGTTATTAGAACCTTTTTCATATGGCCCTGTCATGGAATCTCTTATTCCTCTAGGATTTGGCCCTTCATCATGTTTCAGTCGGTTCATAATAAGCACAAGATTCACATCATACTCGGAAATATTTTCGAAATCTCATGGAAACATGTCAACAATAACATATATAAATTGAAAATTTGTATTAAAAATATACTACTGTTCAAATGATACTGGTCGAGAGGAAAATCCTTTTCTCTCTGTTTTCTCTCTTAGAACCTTATTATCAAACGTCAACTTATCTCTCTTATATATATAACCTTGATGAGGTCTTATGATTGCCAACAAGGTAGATGACTAACCAGGCTAGTTTAACTACATGTCCACGTGCCATCTTTTTTTTTTTTTAATAGAACTTGCTGCAAGATAATAGGTGGACACATATACTAAGCTTTACTGTAAGTGCATGCCCTGGCGTAGCAATAACACTTACAACTTAAACCTTAGCCAAGACAAATGCTAAGTAGCTTACTAATCAAAGCCTATAAAGTATGACCTGTCAAGTTTGTATTCTCCTAATGACTCTTTCTTCATGTATCATAGACATACGTGGTAGTTATCAATTCTCAAACTTTAATAAAAATATTTATAATAAAAATCCTAATATTCTATTTTACTACCACCTTTCTTAATTAAGCAAACACTACAAATATTCTGGATATCAATGAACTCTTAGTTCAAAGGCATAATTTGCGTTACCCTTTTCTCATGCTTTTGAATTTACTGAAGAAATTGCAACCTACAACTTTTGAACTGAAACAGAGAATGTCTGTTTTATTGGTAAAAGCAATAATATTTGGTTTGATACTGTTTGTATTAGTTCTTCATAGTTCCAAAAGTTAGTCATAATTTACCTTCTGCGCACGAGTGCCATAATTTACATTTTACTCGTGAGTAGTATAATATCTTATTCACATGTTCAACTTTGAATGTAGTATTTCTTCCCTAACATCTATACTTTTCTTTTCCTTATGTTTTCAAACAGAAATTGATATTTGATCGACCAAAAGATGGAGTGAGGAAAATCATACTTGCTACAAACATAGCTGAGACTAGCATTACCATCGATGATGTAGTTTTTGTTGTTGACTGTGGAAAAGCAAACGAGTCATTGTATGATGCATTAAATAATCTTCCTTGTTTGCTTCCAAACTGGATTTCAAAGGCTGCTGCAGGGCAAGTAAGATTTTTGTTTAGAAGTGTGAATTTTTTTGTTTTTTTTAGTAGTTATGTTTTCTTTCATGTCGGCAGTGCTTGTTTAAGTTTTCTTGTTACTTGTAGTGTTTTCCAGAAGTGAAAGGAATTTAAGTTAAGGCGATGGGGCTTGACTGGTCAAGCTCCTGTCAATGAGTGTAGTTGACATTTAGTTCAAATTCTTGACAATGGATTCTTTTCCAATGTTTGATATAGATTTGTCTGCTTAATTGCTTGTTTTTTTTTTATTTACTTATTTATTTTTTGTATCCACAATTTTCTTTCATGGTAAACTTCCCCAAATTTTTATTATAAACCATTCGTATGTGGCCTGTTTGATTGGGACGTCTGTTTTGTAGAGAAGAGGAAGAGCTGGTCGTGTTCAACCGGGGGAGTGCTACCATCTATATCCCAGATGCGTCTATGATTCATTATCTGAGTTTCAGCTGCCGCAAATTTTGAGAACACCACTGGAGTCTTTGTGTTTGCATATCAAAAGCTTACAACTTGGAAGTATTTCAGAGTTTCTATCGAAGGCCCCTCAGCCTCCCGAACCTCTATCGGTATGTGTAAAATTTGAGTTTTATTGGCAAGATCCAAATATTTGTAACGGAAGTTCTACAAAAAATGACTTGATCTTTCGCCCATACAGTTTTTTGGTCATTTTATCGCATTTTGGATTACCTTGGAATTTATGCTCTAAGGTTGAAGTATTTGTACTTTTTTTTTCCTTCTATGATTAAATTAAACTCAATCTTTTTTTTTTTTAGGTTCAGAATGCCGTAGAATATTTGAAAACCGTTGGAGCTTTAGATGAAGATGAAAATCTAACAGTTTTAGGTGAGGAAATTTGAACTTTTGTTATTGAAAAATCTAATTCATATTTCTCTGTATGAGGTTTAAAATGCTTGATGTTATAGCTGTTTCTGTGTCATGTTATGTTAGATCAATAAGAGAAATGGTTTGATGCTTCACAGGACGCTACGTGTCAATGCTTCCAGTTGAGCCTAAGCTTGGAAAGATGCTCATATTAGGGGCTATTTTCAACTGCCTTGATCCCATCATGACTGTTGTTGCAAGCCTAAGTCTCAGAGATCCGTTTGTGACTTCTTTTGACAGAAGGAGGGTATGTTGCTATGTATACATTTTTACTTTATATTTCTATGTTTTGAAACTTTCACACTGTTGTATTTGCCCATAATTCCTTATCTTTAATGGAAAAAAAAGGTAAAACTAGGAATAATCTGTCTATTCCTCTCTTTCGCGTTTTTTGCAGGAAGCAGATACAGCAAAAGCACAGTTCGCAGCTGATGATTGCAGTGACCATCTGGCATTTCTTCGAGCTTATGAGGGTTGGAGAGATGCTGAAAGACAATTATCTGGTTATGATTACTGCTGTAGAAATTTTCTTTCTCAACAAACTATACGAGGCATTGATTTCCTTCGTAGGCATTTCTTTCGTTCCCTCAAGAATATTGGTCTCGTTGATCACAATATGGAAAGCTGCAGTCTTTGGAGCCATGATACACATCTTATCCGAGCAATTATCTGTGCGGGCTCATTCCCCAGCTTATGCTCTGTTATGGTGAGTCAAGATACGCATGTTTTTAGGAAACATCTTTCTACAGTTCTCTCTTTCACTATATATCTATATATACTAGTTTGTACGTGCGCCGATATTTTTAAAATAATGGTTATACAAATTGTTGGAAAAGAAAAGAGAAAAATGAAGAAAAAGAAAACAGAAACAAAGACAAAAACGAGGGGAAAAATAGGTAAAAATGGAAAAAGCAAATCAAAGAAGCAGCAAAAAAGAAGGATCAAAAAGATGGAAATAAGGAATTGGAGGACAAAAAAAAAAAAAGAAATAGAAAACAAGGGGACATTTGTAGGAAAAAAATATTGTAAAAGAAAACATATGATAAATACTTTGTTGGTTTCGAAACTTAAGTGGGGATATATTTGTAAAAGAATTTATTTCATCATAGGTAAATCAAGAAAAAAAAATAATATACTGAAGTGGATCTGAAAATATATAAAATATTAGAGTGGAAGAAATAAGAAAAGAAAGAAAAAGTCATATATAAAAGTGCCAAAGCAATTGGCTTAAACGAGTAGGAGATAAAAACCGCTTAGAAAGTACCTACAAGAAGTAAAGGGATATTTACAGGTGCACATTTGTAAGAAAAATATCATAAAAGACCATATATGATAAATACTTAAGTGGGTATATATTTGTAAAGGAAATTATTTTATCAGAAACAAATCAAAGAAAAATATAATTTATTGAAGTAGATTTGAAAATATGTAAAGCACCCGGGTGGAGAAAATAAAAAATAAAAAAAAAAGAGAGAAGAAAATGTAAATAAGGAATTAGAGAACCAAAAAAAAAAAAAAAAAAGGAGAAGAAAACAGGGTACATTTGTAGGAAAAAAATATCGTAAAAGATCACATCTGATAGAAACTTAAGTGAGGATATATTTGTAAAAGGAATAATTTTATCAGAGACAAATCAAGGGAAAAAAAAATTACCGAGTGGATTTGAAAATATAAAATATTAGGATGGAGGGAATAACAAAAGAAAAAAACGTGAGAAGAAACAAAGAAGAAAGATAAAAAAGATATAACTAAAGAGTTGAGAGGGTCAAAAAAGGATTTTAAGAAATAAAAAAAGGAGGAAGCAGAAACGGACGAAATGTTTCGTCCATTCCGCTTCTCCCACGCCAAAAACGGATTGGCATTTAGTATGTAGGGTAGATGTGTGTGTGTGTGTATGTATGTACGTAGTTTTTGTGTTTGTTTGTTTGTTCTGTGCCTCTGGTTTATTCATGAGTAACTTAAACTTCTAAGAAAAATATTAAAGATAGTCTTTAGTATTTGTCGGAATGATTCTTAAATTCAGCTGAAATTGATTTTCCTTGAATATTTTATACTTTATTTATTTATTTGTTTTAGTTTTTATTTTTTCATCTCCTCGTGTTGTGTAGTCTTTTCTTCTTTTCATTCATCCACCATTTGTTGTGCCTAACTAGTTCATGCCACAGAAAGCGAAAAAGTCTGTAATGTTGAGAACAATGGAAGATGGTCACGTACTTCTCGGTCTGGTAAGTTGTGTTTCAGCTAATTTTATGTTTCCTGCGTCGTTGTTGTTGTCTTTGTTTGATCTAACTTTGGTGCATCATCATTATATTTTTCTATTTTGTTTTCCAACAATGGATGTCTTCAAACGTACAGAATAGTGTAAATTTTCCAGCATCAGAAATTCCCTATCCTTGGCTGGTTTTCAATGAAAAGGTGAAAATAACTGCAGTTGTTCTCCGAGATTCAACTGCCGTGTCAGATTCTGTGCTTCTTCTATATGGAGGGAGAATTTCCAGGGGTGAAGAAGTATGTCGCTTTTACTTAATTTGCTCCTGTTAAAAAAAAATACTTGTGGAAGACACTGATACTTGAGCCGTACTTTCTTTGATAGGACGGACACCTGAAAATGTTAGATGGGTACTTGGATTTTTTCATGGAACCTAACTTAGCAGATACATATGTGTTTTTAAAGGAGGAGCTTGACGAACTGATTCAGAAGAAGGTACGTTAAACGCCAATACGCTATTAGTGATGGCTATATTATTGGACGCAATTGCATTGGAATTAACCATTTTGAATGTACTGGTTTAGGTACATGTACAAGGCAGCACTATGATATTATGTTTCTTATATGCAACTTTTGTCATATTGATATATTGATGTGTTCTTGTTCCTTATATGCCAGCTTCTGAATCCCCAGATGGACATACGGTCTCATTCCAATCTCCTTTCTGCTGTAAGATTACTGATTTCAGGGGACCGGTGTCTGGGACAATTTGTCACTGGTCGTGAGGTGCCAGCAGCATCCTCACAAAAGGCAAAAGAAGAGATGCTGCCTGTGCCTGTTTCACAACGGGGTACTGCAGGCAATAGCGGCAGTGGGGATAATTCCAAAAACCGGCTGCAGACGTTGCTCATCAGAGCCAGATGCGGACCACCCACCTACAAAACAAAACAACTGAGTGATGACCAATTCCTTGCAGTAGTAATCTTCAAAGGGATGTACGTTACGGGGAACCATTGCCGCACTAAGGAACTTGCAGAGGAGGAGGCAGCTGCTGAGGCTTTGCTTTGGTTGCAAGGCGAAGGCCATTCATCTTCCACAGATTCTACTGACCGAATGTTAATGGTTTTAGACAAGAATGAGAATGTTGATATGAATTTCACAGGCGGCTCTGAGAGTCATGTTAGAGATAGATTAGTCTCCTTGGCCTAAAACTTGTGGTGTTACACCTCGGTTTTTGCATGTCAAAATCAGATCTCCATGTCATGGAAATAAATTCTGGAAGATTCAAATTCACCATTAGCCTTTACACGGTTAAAGGAACCTTGGATGGCAATTGGCGAGCAACAACAGTTTAAGTACTTTCAGCTCGAGAATGGGGAGTGCGAACCCATCGACTTCTTCAGTATAGCAAGTGGATGAGTTGAAGCCGAATGAGGATCATCGAGCTTGAGCTAGCGAGCAGTACTAGTTACGTATAGCTCGCGGACAAGCTCCTCAGCTTGCTGTCAAGCAGTCTAGCGCGGTCATGAGTAGTCCACGACGACAACAAACAATTTGGTTCAGTTTTGGCTATATCTAGTGTCATCAAAACCACCCAGATGAGATCGCTCTCTCTATGACTTCTGAAGTTCCAGGATTAACGATCAACGTGGCTACGACATCTCTCGAGATTCCGGGTGTTAACTCCCACAATTCTTTAGTGCCTCCAAATTGAGAGTAAAGAAGTCCGGAACCAAGGGAAGTGATTTTACATTCGCAAATTTAATTCGTGTTATGAATTCGGATCGATATTAAGTGTGTTAGAGGTACAAATGCATTCTTCAATTTAATTAAATGAAGCAAGTCATCCCTTCCTCAATAATCATGCGTCAAATTCACCTCTCTTGACAATTGACAACCTCAGGCCCAGTTTGCTTAGCAATTTGGTAGGGCTGAGTTAATAAAATATGGGAGGAAACTAGCCTATTAAAATAGGGGGAATAAAAATTGGAGATGTGCAAAAAAATGACCCTTTTTAGCTATTTTTTAGTGAATTACTGAAGTTCTTAAAAATTAGGAAAATTACCCTTTTATTAGTGATAAATAAATTTCAATCAATATACTAATTTATGAATAATAAAACCGTATATCTGTGTTAAATAATAAATAATGGTGTATTACTAATTGATCATGGTGAAAAAAGGACATTTTCCTAATAAAAAGTTCGATCTTTAATTTAAAAGGTGTGGCCCAAATTGGTCATTAATTTAATAATTTGCAAAACTTATTAGTCGATTTATGGAAAAGTTAATAAAATAACCATTTTAGCTTCTTTTTTTTTTCCTTTTCTTTTTGAACTTCTTCTTTTTCATCCCTATCTTTTTTATTGCATCATTTAACTTTTAATTTTTATATGTTTTCAAATATATATCATTTAAATACTTTTCTTACGGTTATTTAAAATATATTTTTTTAATTATCTTGTTAAATTAATTTATTTTCAGATGTGTTTTTACATAAGTATTTTTTCTCTGTGATCTTCATAAATTTCATTTTCAATTGACGTTTTGCACAAAAGTTTTTAAAGTTTTTTTCTTAAGTTTGTTTTTGTCTTTTTTCCTTATCTTTTGCTTCAAAATTTTTTTCTCATTTTTTTTTATTTTTTTTCGAATAATTTGTATAACTGTTATTTTAAATGAGTTAAAGTGTGCATTTTTGACTAGTTTACTACTCTAGTCAACCACTAAAGGACTGTTTGTTAGGAGAGATTGGGGAAAGAAAGGAAACGAAGAGGGAAAGGATGAAGCAGTCAATCATTTGGTTGGGAGGATTGAGGCATTGAGCAAAGGGGACGGAAAGTGTTGTAGGTGGAGTTTCCATGGGACCCACCAGATATTGATTCGTCCCTATATGGCCGGAAAGAAGAGGAAACTCTCATTATGACCATATAATTACAGATTTGCCTTCATTTCTCTTATATTTTAATACTAAAATTATTTTGAGGCTTTGCTCTTACTTCTTTTTACATTACTTTATTTATTTTTAGATTAACTACTTTATTATATATGAAAATAAGGGAATATATATTTATTTAGCAACTTTTTTTTACATTACTTTATTTATTTTTTGACTTTAGTATTGTCTTGTATTTTAGCACTTTAATGGCTCTTCAATAAATATATTTTATTTGCTCTTAAAAAAATAGGGAATATATGTTAAGAGAGCAGTTACATGTATTTTTTCCCCTTTTCTGTGAAACATATTATTTTTATACCAATTAATGAATAGGAGTTAAAGTAAGTATAAATATAAAGCGTATTAAAGCTTACACTCAAACTAAAATATATTTCACATCTAGGGAATGAATCATTTGCATTTCAATTAGTTAATTTGAAATTAAACAAAGAAGTTAATTCATTTTATAGTATGTGAGCAATAATATAATTTTATAAAGAAAATTCAATCATTCCTTCCTCTTTTCTATCTAATACCAAAACAAAAGAATGGATTATCATCTTCTTTCCTTCCTATAGGAAAAATTTTCTTAAAAGTTAAATTATTTATGTGTAATGTTGGGTCAAGGGTGATTTAATATCGAACTTTGATGATAACAAACACGATATTATCACTAATCAATTTATCTTGAGTTGTGTTGATTAAGCAAATGGATTATTATGTCAATCAACTTAAAGTAAGAAAAAAAAAAAAAGAAATGAAGAAGGTGCAATCTTATGAAGAATTGGGAAAAGACAATTGAAGATAATTCAAGGAACATTAAGATTAAAGATTGAAGATTGAAGATCAATCAAGACATTATTTTATAGGTTTATTCTAATTCTAATCTTGTATTGATTTTGATCTCATGCCATCAATTGTTAATTCTATGTTAAGGCTCTTACACATACTCACATATAAATTTCACATTCTTCCAAAATATTTTCAAATTAACTTAAAACATTATAATTGTTTTTAAATTGGTTTAAATCATGTTATACATTTTAAAAATTGATTGAAAATTGTTTATATATCAATTTTGTGTGTAAAGTCAGTTTTGGAGTTGTGAGAGGATAAAAGACTGAGATGATACAACAAACTTCTCTGATTGACCGGTGGTAGAGCCTTTGTAATTTCACAATTTCCTCATAACCGGTCAATCAGTGATAATCCACAAGTCAACCGATAGTATTCAAATAGTCAAAAATCGAATTATTTGACAACAAGTTCAAACAGATAAATTGACTTGTTTTCTCTTATTAAAGACCTTCTTGAGGTCCAAAATAGGTAAATAATGCCAGAGAGAACTCTACATTGTCAAAAATTCAAAAGTTTCTCAAAAGTGCTTACATAGTCATCTTTTTCTTTATATTCTCTCTTGAAATTTTTACACTCTTGAGCTTACCTTGAATTTCCTGTTGATAGTATGACCTCATCATCTCCTAATCTTTTTCTTTATGTAAAATCTTTTTAGGAGTGAGAGTTTGAGTGCTTTGCTTATCAAACATCTTGTAATCTTCATTTAATCTCAGATTAATTATAAAAATTCCTTCTAAATTATGCCAAATGTAACATTTTGCCCCCCGATCTTTAAAACGTAACATATGTTCCTCCTAAATAATAAAATAATAATAAAATTTAAAAATGTACAGACTAGTTTTCAAAGATCAGGGGTAAAAATGAAATTTATTCTTATTATTACTATTATTATTCTTGTTGTTGTGAAGGATCAAGTTGCAAAACCATGAATAGTTTAGGAGGTATTGGTGCAAAAAGGGCAAAAAATCTTCCTTTAAAAAAAAGAAAAAAGAAAAAGAGGGAGAGAGAGAGGGGTGTAGTCGTATTTAAAAAAAAAAAAAAAAAAAAGGTCCGAGTAAGTAATAAAAGTATAAAACAGGCTTCCTTCTCCCCAGTAGGAGACGGACTCATTTCAGTTTGTGGCAAACACCAACCTCAGCGCGGCATAGCCTCCGCCACTCTTTCTCCCAACTCAAACAGAACAATAAAAACAAAAAAAAAGAAAAAAAAAAGAAAAACAAAAACCTTAGCTTCTGCTAATCTCATACAAAGAAATGCAACTTCTTATCCTCCACAACTGACGAGGAAAAAAAAGGCAAAAAAAAAAAAAAAAAAAAAAAACCCACAACCATGCCGTGCTCAGCCCTGTTTCAGGGCTACATAAGAACCATGTCCGTGGGACCCACCACTTCTCTGGCCTTCCTCAGGTCCCACAACAGCAAGACCCTCAAACCATCTTCATCTCTGTTGTGGGGTTTGGTCACAAGGCAAAAGAACCGCTGCCACTACTGCAGCTGTAGCCGCCACACTAAGGGCTCGTTCAACTTCAACCGTCACGTGGGGCGTCGGGAGCTCAAGTGCGTCGCGTCCTCCGGGACCGTCGAGGCAGATTGGCGGCAGACGCGGAGGAGCGCTGCGGCGCCTTTCTTGCAGCAGCAGAGCCTGAATTACGGGCGCTATGCATACCAGGATACGGCGAGCAGCGACGATTCGGACCTCGAGTTGGGGGTCTCGGGTTCTAGGCAGCAAACGGTTAGTTTCCGGTTCGATAAATTTTCCTGCTTTTTAGAGATGATTATGATTATAATGCAATTATGTGATTAGAAATTGGCATCTTGGAACTAAAAATTTAGGTCTTGTTCCTTTCGCATCGTTAACTTGAGTTAAAATGTCAATTCACGTGTGAGAAAACGTTGAAGCAGAAAAAGTTGAATTTGAATTTTTGTGGGAGAAAATACTGCAGTAAAATCTTGAGTTATGATTCGAACTAGTGAAATGAATGGGCCTTAGTTTTGAAGATATGAGCTATCTTTCCAATGTTTGGAATATTAAGGTTTAGAGACCTTAAGATATGAGGTTTAAAGTGCTGAAATTAGAGCTTCCCTAGGGGGTATTGAGCAATGTCATTTATGTTTCAAGAGTAGTTGATTTAAGAGTTCAAGTTGGAGTTGTGGGGTTTGTTTGATTTATACTATGTTTTGTTTGTTGGCACTGTTGGGTGTGAGTTTCCTGCTTTTTATGACTAATCACTGAATTGAATTTGAAGATTTGAAGTTGGTCATTTGAAGGAAAAAACTACTATGGACTGATGGCCAAACCAAATCTGTCGAGCGATTGACAATCATTTTAATTTTTGAAGCATAAAGAATAGGGAGTTTTTAATTTTTTTTAATATATATATATATATATATATATATGTATATACATAGTTTGTATACATTTACACAAGCATTAGGAACTTTGACTTAGTTTGAGAGGCGGAATTGAATCCTACACCTTTCATTGGATTGGAGTAAGGGGTAGAGTTACCGCTAGGCTATACCTGCATCCACGGAACTTTGACTTATGTATAAGACTTAAGAGATGAAATAAGAGGTGCCCTGATTGGGATTGGATAAGAGGGCAAGAAGAAATGAAGCTAACTTTCAGTTTTGTTTTGTTGTGCTCTTGTAGTGTTCAAATGAAGGCCACCGTCTTCTTCTTTTCTGTAATTATTGTTATTGATGTTTAGAGGAATGATGGTTTTGTGACTTCCTTAGACCGTTCTGTTATGATCAAGTAACACAGTATTAAACGGGAGTGGAGTTATCATAAAATAGTAGAAAACCCATGAAATGTCTTTGGGTTATCGTGTGTTAAGGTTTGATTGATTTCTCAATAACTTTGAATAAACAGGGATCCTCACATATCTAAATTTTTCTTGTTTTTGTGTCCCGTGGTCAATGCTAGTGATCTTTGGTACAGTGTAATAGCAATTTTTTAGATCTATATTCTAACACAGTTAATTTCGTGTAGATCTATATGCTGACTTCTTGTGTCATGTACCATTATATCAAGTTGATGGCTGTAATGAATTGCAATATTTTTTTATAAAGTAAATGTTGGCTATGCGTGACCTAAGGCTACGGTACAATGATGCAAGTTCCGTTAAAAGATTCAAAGAGCAAATATCCTAATATTTGACTGGAATAATTAATATGTTAACAAAGGATCATATTGGTTTTGTGTTTATCTTGCTCTTTTTGTATTGCGTGTGGGATGTGTCAACCGGCAATGCAAGGTCGTATAGATCATTTCTTGTTAGCAAGGATTTGGAAGCTTTGGGGGAGAGTTTCCCGACAGGTCGAAAACTGAAAGAAAGGGAAAGAACTACCAATTATCCATTTTTAAGACCTTTCAATGTACCCCTTATCTATATAAAGGTGGAAGAAAAGCAGGGTGAGATGAAGACTAGGATCGTGAGATGGTATAAGACCATGACACTAGCTTTCATCACCTTAATAACAGAGAAAGTTCCACTTGGTCTAAAGAGAAGAAATTTCATTGAAAATCTGTGGGTGATTTAGGGAGAGCCAGCTTGAGGGATTGAGACGAAGTTGTTGTCTTTATATTGTGGATGTCGTCCAAACGGCAACACACTATCAGTGGAGTAATTCATCACCAAAGACACTGCTTCTTAGCAAGCACGTCGAGGTTATTCATTCTATGCTCAATCATGCTGGAGAGAGGGAAACCTTTCCCCACCCGAAGACTGAAATCACCCAGATGGTGCCATCTATATTTTCTATGCTCTCTATGCTATGGTCTTCTCAATTGCCTAGTCTCGGTTCAAAGATAGTGGAAGGATCCATCCATCAGCCCTTCTATCTCCACAGCGCTGACCTGCACTTTCCGCCTAGTTCACCAACTTCACGAGTCTGATTTGGCTCTATATTGTCCACCAAAGAAACTCCAAATAACTCCACTGCAACTGAGCGATCTCATTGATCTGACCTTCTTACTCGGTATGGAAGGACTCTTGACTGACTCTGAGACTTAGTCTTCTGACTTGGATTGGCATACAGGGGTCAATTCCACCCTATCCTCTTGAAGCACCTTGCTTCCTTTGCGTACTGCTAAGGTTTTAATTTCTAAAAATCAATAAAGTTTTTATTATCAAAAAAATTTTTTGTAGTGGAAAACATTTGTTTTTCTTATAAAAAAAAGTTATATAATTTTAACAGCAGTGGCTACCTTTTACTTGAGAGCTTATGCATTATTTTTCTTAGATATATAATATCTATTTTTTCTAGTCACAAGTAGAGACGTGAGACTAGTCTTGTGATGCATATATTTGTGCCCTTGCATACAAGTTCTAAAGATTCTACAAACATTGTAACGAATTAGTTGAAACTCTTTTTATTCATTTATTTTTTTATTTTTAAAGTTTTGTTGTCTATGTTCATCCTTTCTTCATCCATTCTCTCAACTAGCATAGATGTTATTGACTCTTCTTGTCGGTGCATCTTGCTATTATTTCTAGATAGACAAGGTATTGCTCTAAGATGTATAAGCTGCAGTTTATCTAACTCTTATTCATTATACAGTGTGGGTCAACCCTTGATAACATTGAAGAGTGGAGATGGAAGTTAACAATGTTGATGCGTAACGAAAATGAACAAGAATTGGTATCAAGGGAGAAGAAGGACAGACGTGATTTTGACCAAATTTCGGCACTGGCAACAAGAATGGGTTTATATAGGTATCTTGGTTCTTTAGATGTGACGCCTGTTTAAGAGTCCTTTTGATTCCTTATTTTATGTCAGTTATCTGATCATGGTTTTGTTTAATTTACTTTTGCAGCCGCCAATATGCAAAGGTTGTTGTCTTTAGTAAAGTTCCTCTACCAAATTACAGACCTGATTTGGATGATAAGCGCCCACAGAGAGAGGTATTTCATGTATATGTTTGTGCCCTTCGTCTTCTGATTAAACTATAGAGTTGAACATTTGTTGAAAGTTTCAACTATTTTAGGAGTTTGTATTGGCTGGAATACATATTCACAATACTTGTTTTGCTACTGTTGAACACGGCATGTTTTTTATTTTATTTTGTGCATTAAGTCAATTACTAACTTTTTTTGAAGCACGTGTAGGTGATCTTACCATACGGGTTACTATCAGAAGTAGATTATCATCTTAGAGCCCATCTTTCTAAAAAGTCATCCAGCAGGGATAGTTTATCAAACAATTCCTTGTCAAGATCAAGCAGCAGCAGTAGTATTGCCAATGATGACGGGATTTACGAGCAGCAGGAGCCATTGATCCGTAATAGTGCCATGGAGAAAATCCTTCAACGTAAAAGTTTGAACCTGCGTTTCAAGCAACAAGAATGGCAGGTTACTTTTTCTTCTTCTTCTCCTCTCCTTTCTTTTTATCTTAGTCATTCTACTAGCCTTTTTCACATCTTAGTGTCTTTACAGGAAACACCTGACGGTCAAAAGATGCTTGAACTTCGTAAAAGTCTTCCTGCATATAAATCGAGGGATGCATTGTTAAAAACCATATCAGAAAATCAGGTCAGTTATTATTATATGACATATTTTTTTTATTTGATTGATTGTTTTTGATTTTGTTGCATCCACTCATTTATGTGCTCTTGTTTTTCTTCTAGAAGAGTCACTTCAGTCTGTTTTAGGTTTTTGGCAGTCCACTTATACCGATACTAATTTTATGTCTGTCAAGTCATATTAGGTGTCAATGTTGCAGAAATCTGCCTAAATCAAGCAGAGCTGTTATTTATCTCGTCTTTTTTTTCTGAGACTTCAACTGGCTGTATACAGGACTTATTTACAAGTTCTCTTTCTATTCTGCAATTTTAGTGGAGTGTTATTGTTATGCATGGATGTTGGTTGGTAATTTAATACATACATACATTTATGGAAATGATGACTCTCTTTTTGTTTTATGCTATTCATTATGAATAGGTTGTTGTCGTCTCCGGTGAAACTGGTTGTGGTAAAACTACACAGCTTCCTCAGTACATTTTAGAATCTGAGATTGAAGCTGCTCGTGGAGCTTCCTGTAATATTATTTGTACGCAGCCTAGACGTATATCAGCCATAGCCGTTTCTGAAAGAGTTGCTGCAGAACGGGGAGAGGCACTGGGGGAGTCTGTGAGTTTTTGTACTTGACATAAGCTTTGCTTCAATATCTTAAACCTGTCTTGTAAACTTTTTTCTTTGTTCTTTTTAATATATAACGTATGGTATAGGAAACAAATTTTGTTACTAAAGAAATAATGTAACAAAAAAAAGTAACATTTTGAGGGGAAGAAGTTCTCAAAGAGAATATAGAAGAAACCAAAAGAATTAAAAGTAACAAGGCGCACCAGTGACACTAAACACTTTTCCAACTTATCATGATGATAGACAAAGGGAATTCTTTGAATGCTTTATCTGTCGAAGGCCATAAGGATGCTAGATATTTGATTCTTTCAAAGATAACGCTAGCATCTTGTTCAATCTCCTCGAAAATCTTTCCATTGTTTTCAATCCAAATGACTTAAAAATGGAGCCAGAACCTCATACGTCTACATCAGCTTCACCTTCTTGCTCGAGCCAAAAGAGAGCCACAATTCTAGGGAAAGCCCGCTGAAATTCTCAAAGTTTCAGTGTATCAGTGATTTTAGATTGTGATATACGTAAATTTCTATCCGCATATAGTGTATATGTATGTATATACATCTGTGAGTGTGTGTGCAATAAAAGACTATCTCCGTTTTTCTTATATTATTACTGATTAGAGAAATTTCTGCCTTTTGGAACAGGTGGGTTACAAAGTTCGGCTGGAAGGAATGAAAGGCAGGGATACTCGCCTTCTTTTTTGCACTACTGGGATATTATTGAGAAGATTACTTGTTGATAGAACCTTGAGGGGTGTTACACATGTTATTGTTGACGAGATTCATGAACGTGGAATGAATGAAGGTAGTTTTACAAATTTGTTTAAATGTGTCTGCTGGTATTGCATGTGAGTTTTAACCATACTGCTGGTATTGCATGTGAGGTTGAACCATACTTTTTCAATTTATGCCAGATTTCCTTCTTATTGTCCTGAAAGAACTACTTCCTCGTCGACCAGAGTTGAGGTTAATTTTGATGAGTGCCACCCTAAATGCCGAGCTTTTCTCTTCCTACTTCGGTGGGGCTCCTACGATCCATATTCCTGTAAGTTTAAGATGCTGCTTATTCTTACATATTTGTAACTGTGTATTGGCTGCATAATATAATGAAGTGATGAATAGTGATGTTGGAGTTCCCAAACGTAAAAGTATGGGAGAAAGCGACCCAAGACCAGTTGCAGCTCTCTCTCTCTGTGAATTGTTCAAACATAAGGTCATAGATTCACTTTTGTGTGGGGTATTTTGTCTTCTTCCAGGGTTTTACATATCCGGTTCGAGCACAGTTTCTGGAGAACATTTTGGAAATGACTGGATACCGGTTAACTCCATATAATCAAATTGATGATTACGGTCAAGAAAAGGTGTGGAAAATGCAAAAGCAAGCACAATCCCTGAGAAAAAGGAAGAGTCAGATTGTTTCTTCAGTAGAGGTATCAAGAATATATTACTATGAGTTGGGTAGTTTTTATTGCAACGCCTGGGTGTAATGTTAAGTTTTTATGTGTTTTTGGACAGGATGCACTTGAAACTGCAGACTTGAGAGAGTATAGTCCGAGGATTCGAGATTCCTTATCCTGTTGGAATCCTGACTCAATTGGATTTAATCTCATTGAGCATGTGCTTTGTCACATAGTTAGGAATGAAAGACCTGGTGCTGTTTTAGTTTTTATGACTGGCTGGGATGATATTAACTCTTTAAAGGACCAGCTTCAGTCTCATCCTCTCTTGGGAGATCCTAGCGGGGTCTTGTTACTTGCATGTCATGGTTCCATGCCCATCTCTGAGCAGGTGATATTACTTTGTACTTTTACATATTTACTCGAGTGAAAGTAATAACAATTTTTTCTCTTTTGTTTCTCTTTCTTTTTCATGCCTTTTTGAGGACTCATTTTCCTCCCTTCTTTGCACTTTATTTTATTATCAATGAAAAGATGTTTTCTTATTATAACAAAATTTACGTTTTGCACGTTTATTTTATCTCATTCACATGTTCATGTTTATATGGTAGTATTTACCTTTTCTCATAGTTGTAAGCTTCTTTTTTCTTCCCAATGTTTGCTATCAGAAATTGATATTTGATAAGCCGGAAGAAGGAGTAAGGAAAATTGTACTTGCCACAAACATGGCTGAGACTAGCATCACCATAAATGACGTAGTTTTTGTTGTTGACTGTGGAAAAGCGAAAGAGACATCATATGATGCACTGAATAACACTCCCTGTTTGCTCCCATCCTGGATTTCAAAGGCTGCTGCACGGCAGGTAAGATATTTGTGAGGAATTGGGACCAAGAACCGAAACCAAGAACACCAGAAAACAAAGAACAAATACGCAGAAAGAATATACAAAGAAAAATGAGAATTCTGGAACAATTCAACTGGAATTTTATTGACAGCGAAAACCCCTTTCTCAAGTCTTTACACACTCAAGAAAGATCTCTCTCAAACTCAATCTCACTGTACACAAGAATGTTTCTCTTTGCAAGCATATCACTCAAAGAAAATAGAAAGAATAGAACCGGAGAGTTATGAAACTAATCTCTGAATCTATCTAATATATACACCTAATGATTCTTGATCCTCTGTAAGCATGCTCACCAAAACTTTCCTGTTATGTGGACTAAGTCAACCACTTGCTTGCCACATCACCAGATGAACTTGCAGCCATATCACAACAATATTCTTTTTTCTAAGCTCTTTAATTATATTTAATGGTTGATACTATACCACTCTTAAATTTGTTAAGGATATGAGTGTCTTTTTTTTCATGTCTACAATACTTTTGTAAGTTTGGTTTTTAGGGTATCCAAGGTTCTAGTGTTTCATGTTTGCATTTTTAGTGATAAAAGTTGTGTTAGTTAAATTGGGTGGTTCTGGTCGGTCAAGTCTGCTGTCAGCAAGAGACGTTAAGATTTTCAGATACTAAATCCTCTTCAATTTTTTATACAGTTTGCCTACTGGATTGCAATTTTTCAATGGACACATGATTAGCAAATTAAGAACTTTTAGTTCTTTCTCAACATCTTTATTGATAAAAATAATGTTCCGCGTAGAGAAATTTCTGTGACAATTTTCTTATCCACATCTTCCTACGTGATAAATACCCATATCTTTTATGATAAAATAATTGCAATCATAAATGTTCTTATTGCACATAAATTTCCTATTGTTAATCCCTAATTGTTTTCTTTCATGCTCTTATTTTATTTATTTATTATTATTATTTTTTTTTTTTGTCTTTGATAATGAAAAACATGAATTTGGAGATACAAATTTAACATGTGTTTTGCAGAGAAGAGGAAGAGCTGGTCGTGTTCAACCTGGAGAGTGTTACCATCTCTATCCTAGATGTGTGTTTGATGCATTTTCGGACTATCAGCTGCCAGAACTTTTAAGAACACCACTGCAGTCCCTGTGCTTGCAAATCAAAACCTTACGACTTGGAAGTATTTCAGAATTCCTATCTCGGGCCTTGCAGCCTCCTGAACCTCTTTCGGTACGTTTTAGTCCGAGTTCTATTTCCAAACTTACACGTCGGTGAAAAACATCTCTGAAACACTGTCTTCTTTTTTATTATTTATGTTCTTTTTCTTTCTGTTCTATTCTCACCTGTAGTTTTGCTGCTCATTTTCTTTCATTTGAATTACCTTGAGGCTTGCAATCGATATTATCAAAATTGAAGCCTTCCTAATTTTCTTTTCCTCAATCATGTTTCTCTTTGTAGGTGCAAAATGCTGTAGAATATTTGAAGATCATTGGGGCTTTAGATGAAGATGAAAATCTGACAGTTTTAGGTGAAGAAATATTACCATTGTTATTTTATTAAATGTCTTGCTTGATTCTACAGTTGTGTTATTATAATGCTATTTTGGTATCCAAAATAAGTAATGACTTGGTGCTTTGTAGGACGCAACCTATCAATGCTTCCAGTTGAGCCTAAACTTGGGAAAATGCTCATATTAGGGGCTATTTTCAACTGTCTTGACCCAGTGATGACGGTTGTTGCAGGCCTTAGTGTCAGAGATCCATTTCTGATGCCTTTTGACAAGAAGGATGTATGCATTCACTAATCTTTTTATTACCTTTTTTTTAAAATTTATTTTAAACTCATTTTAGTCACTGTTGCATTGGGGACTGACTGTTCTAAAACATTAGGGGGGCTAAGACTGTCGATTTCAAGTTTAGGGATCAGAAAGCTATTTTAGCGTAGTTTAAGGACCAATTGACTAATTAATACTTCCGTTCATGATATAAAAGTTGGCTTTTGACTTACCATGGAGTTTTATATTTTATAAGATTTTGAGGTTCTGTAAATATCACTTGTTGATATGCAAAATTTACGACTACTTATAGTAGATGTATAAATGAGAGCTAAATTTTTTGAAGAAAAAAAGGGAAATGAGAGTTGAGAAGATTTTTCAGGTCATTGGGTTAAACTTAAATGTAGTGTGCTTAAGTACTAGAATGACAAGGCATAAATCTGTTCATTGTTCTATATTAATATGTGTTAGTTAATAAAGAAATTTCTGCTGTGGTATCAACTCAAATATAGTAATTTTATAATGGCTGTGGTGCAATGGTGCGGATTCAGAATCTAAATTCCAATTTCATCAGAAAGAATATATATATATATATATATATATGTATATATATGTATGTATATATATATTTGGGTGGCACTAGTGCCATTAAGTTAGTAAATAATCTATGGATAACTTTCACATTTTTGCAGTTAGCAGAGTCAGCAAAAGCGCAGTTCTCAGCTCGTGATTACAGTGACCATCTGGCAATAATTCGAGCTTATGAGGGTTGGAAAGATGCAGAAAGAGAGCAATCTGGTTATGAGTACTGTTACAGAAATTTCCTTTCTGCACAAACTTTACGAGCCATCGACTCTCTTCGGAAGCAATTCTTTTATTTGCTCAAGGATACTGGTCTGGTTGATCAAACTAAAGAAAGCTGCAATCTATTTAGCCATAATGAGCATCTTATCAGATCAATTATCTGCGCTGGTTTGTTCCCTGGATTATGCTCTGTTGTGGTGAGTTGAGCTGCATCTGGTTTTGCAAAACATTAATTTCTCTGGTTCAGGTTTTATTAGCCTGTGTTTAAGCTGTTCTCTATCTCTCTCTCTCTCTCTCTAATATACCTATCCGTGTATATATTTTTGTATATTCTTGTCTTTAATGTAACTAAAACTTCGGAAAGAAAGAGGTGATGGGAATCTTCCATATGCTTCTTAGATTCAGATGAAATTGATTTGTCTTGCACTTTAAATACTTATTTTTTTTCTTTATTTATTTCTTACCTGATTGGCTGTTGATGCCCCATCTTCCTTTGATTCATTTTTCCTTTGTTGTAAACCGTGCTCAAAACTTTTTTTGTTTTTAGCAGAACAAGGAGAAATCTATAGTGTTGAAAACGATGGAAGATGGTCAAGTACTTCTCTACTCGGTGAGTGATCTTTTCAGCTAATTTTATGCTTCCTATGTTGTTTTCGTGGTTATTGTTTGACTAATCATTATGATTTTTATGTTTTGTTTCTTGTTATCGGACTACATCGAATAGAATTCTGTTAATGGCGGGGTACCAAAAATTCCATATCCATGGCTAGTTTTCAACGAGAAGGTGAAAGTGAATTCAGTTTTTATCCGAGATTCAACTGCCGTGTCTGATTCTGTGCTTCTCCTATTCGGAGGGAGCATTTCCATGGGTGGACTAGTACGTTCCTTTTTACTTTTTTTTTTGTGCCTATTAATTCATTCACTTGATGTTCTTGGTGGAAGAGATGGATAATCGTTCCATAAATGCTTTGATAGGATGGGCACCTGAAAATGTTAGGAGGGTACTTGGAATTTTTTATGACGCCTGAATCAGCAAAGATGTATCTTTATTTGAAGAAGGAACTTGACGAACTGATTCAGATGAAGGTTAGTGAGCTATTTGGCATTCATGATGCTTTAGTAGTTATTCTGAAGAACTACAGAACTAACTTGACGTTTTTGCGTGCTTTGTTTTGAGTGAGAAGTGTAGTTAATTCATCCCAAGCACTACTCTCTATCTATATTTTTACACTTCCAACACGCACACAGAAATATATTTATGTGAATTTAGGGACAAAAGATGTTTACTAAGACAGGGAAAAAAGGAGCGCCGTGAGTGACCTGTTTAAACTGTATGAGCCATTTGCAAAAATATGTATTAAAAAAATGCTATCTAGGAACCGTTTACAAAACAGCTACCTCAAGAAATGTGAAAAACAGTTACCAAAATGGAACCAAATGTCCCCATTTTTCTTTTAGCTCTACATGGTCACAGCACCATCAAATTCACTACTGTATTCTTTATATGCAGCTTGTGATGTCATGATTTACCGCATTATGCTAACACATTAATTTGTTGTGCAGCTTCTGAATCCCCAGATGGACATACAATCTCATCCTGAACTCCTTTCTGCAGTAAGTTTACTGGTTTCAGGGGACCAGTGTGAGGGGAGATTCGTCTTTGGTCGCCAGTTGCCAGCATCCTCCAAAAAGGCAAAAAAGGAGTTACTACCTGTTGCCAAAGGAGGCATTAAAGGTAGTGATGGGGATAACTCCAAAGGTCAGCTGCAGATGTTACTCGCCAGAGCTGGACATGGACAACCCAACTACAAAACGACACAACTGAAAAATAAACAGTTTCGTTCAAAAGTGATTTTCAATGGATTAGACTTCATCGGCCAACCTTGCAACAATAAGAAACTTGCAGAAAAGGATGCAGCTTCTCAGGCGTTGCTTTGGTTGCAAGGCGATAGTCATTCGTCTCCAACAGATGTTGACCATATGTCAATGCTCTTGACGAAAAGTGGCAAAAAGAAAAGCCAGAAAGGAACTGCGTTTCACGGTGCTAAATGGAGTTAAACTGCTTAGAAAAAGTTATAATTATAATAAGAAGTAAATTTTTTTGTTTTTTTTTTTCACCAACAGAGCTGCTGATCATTCTTATCATGGGAGTTGCATATTGAGCAGCAATAAAAGAGCAGTAACACTTGATGGTTCCCATGGCTGGTTTTGACCTTTTCTAACATGGGGTGGTTCAGTATGAGACCCGAAAAGGGGCTGTATTCTTCAGAAACAGGAGATGGAGACTTTTCACCAGTCCATTGAAATATACTGAAAGTATTATTTTTACTCTTTTTTTTTTTTTAATTATTATTTTGAAGAGATGCCAGAGTCAAAGATCACATTGATCCAAACTTGTTGCCGCATTAGGTGGCTGTTTGACTTTTGTATATAATCATGTTATAGTTAGTAGAATAGAGGAATTAGCAAAGCGAAGAGTTAGGAAGAGAGAAATTGTTTGTGTTAGACAAAAGCTTGTACTTCATAGCAACTTCTATGTATACTTTAATTTTTTTTGTGTCGTTGGCGTTCTGCAACTGCAACTATGATCAGTAAAGTTTCGGATTTATATTTTATGTTTTTCTTTGTATATATATATATATGTGTATATATATATATGTATATATTCAGTTGCTTCTTGCACTAGAAGATGTTGGCATGGTCCTGTGTGGGAACATTATTTTGTGTATACAAAAGAAGAAAAAGAAAAAAAAAAATTGACGGGTCTTAATCTTTAGCGTGTTGTATGTTATGAGCTTGTAACAATTAACTTGCATGTCAAACTTTGGTGTTACTGGATCCCCTTATTGTGGTTTTGAGTTTTTACAATTTGGAGAAACAACCCGATTTTAAGTCTCATTTATTTTACTAATTCGAGTTTAGAATTTGAGTTTTATTATAGTAAAAAGTTTTAAAAAACAGTTACTTTTAACTTTTTTTTCTACAGTTCTCACATAAAGTCACATCTAATTCGAATTAAAAATTTAAATCAACGAATTAAACGGGCTTTTAATTTTGAACTACGTCGTTCTTTTAACACTTTTTGCGAATGTCATATTTGGCATAATAAAATAGATAAAAATGAAATATTTGATATGCTATTCTATACTATTTTAATTGACATATCTATTTTTTTGTCATGCATTTTAAGTTTTGAAGCTTGTGAAAGGAAATTTACTTTTAGAAATTGAAAAACAATGAATTACAATTACCAAGCGAAAAAATAAATTCACCATCCAATTATCAACAAATGTCAAATTTTGACATACGTGGGAGAATGGTTTTGGTTTTCTCTTTTCTTTTTTGACCAATGTTAAAGTTTGACATTAATATAGAAATTTGGGGTTGTATTTTGAGATGGTGTTAATACCCTTCTTAGACCCAAATAATAGAATCATATACCGGTATAGTTGTATATTTTTGACCTCAGCTACTTGACCATTAAAAAATAGTTTCTTTAATTGGAAAAAAAAAAAAAGAGAAAAGTTTCAAAATTTGACTGTAGTATCATATTATTAGCATTAGAGAGATGCAAAATAAGCCGACTTAAAGCTTGACCAAATTATAGCATGTAATGCTTCACAGAGAATACGTAAATATTTTCTCAAAAATATCAAAGAAATCTCGCGGGCACCCTCTCTCTCTCTCTCTCTCTCTCTCTCTCTCTCTGTGTGGAAATTGCTCTTTTCTTGGCTAATATTAGAATATGTAATCATAACGAGTTGAAAAAGTGGGCAAAAGATACGCACTCTTTACTCAATTTGAGGCGAAAGAACAACAAGAAAGCTTTTCTACACAAATTTTAAGCAATTGTACACTTGTTCTCGAAACATAGACTTTTGGCGTTACACGTTTAAAGTCTATTATTTTGGACTATTTATTTCATCCGTTTAAATTTATAATTTTAATTTTATTATAATATTTTTTTTGATAAAAAATTTTAAATTTTAAATGTCAGAATAAAAAATTACTGATTTAAACATATGAACTAAATAAACTCTTAAGATCCGTTTAGTTTGTTAATTTAAATTTTTAATTCGAGTTGAGATGTGACTTTATGTGAGAGTTTTTTTACAGTCTGTAGTTAAAAACGTTAGATGTGACTGTTTCTGAGAGCTTTTTATTGTATTAAAACTCAAATTCTAAACTCAAATCGGTGAAATAAATGAGACTTTAATATTTCTACAGTGGTCGCTTAGCAGAGTACTGAAATCAAGAAATTATGGGTATATTCTTTTCTCAAACTTGAATTATGAACTTGAATTTAATACGTGAGAAAAAATATTATAACAAAAAAATTAAATTTAAATTTTTATAAGAAAAATTTGAGTTATAATTTGAGTTAAGTAAAACAACATGGCATATAAGTTACACAAAATTCAATCGGATTGTTAAATGTAAAGTTAGATTCTTGATTATGCTTAACACGTTTTGTTTAGTAGTTGTTTGTTTATTTTTTGGACTGAGTGGGACACGTAATCATATAAGACAGGATATACACTGACACACACGCATATATACATTCATTTACACGTACATACACTAGTTTTGTTTACTCTTATTATTATATTATTTTTTTCTTTATTTTTCTGAAAACCGACTTAACCAATCAATGGTGTAGCGTTATACTCATCAATTACTATTAGACATTGACTACGTAAATACACTAGTTCTACATATTGCATTACGTATAATACAAGAAAGGAAAGGTGGACTTGTAAATTTAGGATCCTTCTGGTGTGCCGTGAGTTGTAAATCACTGTACCACATCGCGAGTTTTTGTGAGCCGTTGAACTCAGAGAAGTTTGTATTTGTTCAAACGAATGCAGAAATATATATAAAACGAATGCAATATATATATATTATATATATATTGTCGACTAAATTACAGTACATAAAGTTGAAAATATTTATCATGAAAATGCACCCTGGTTGGCTCACATCATTTCATTGAGAATTATTAAGGGGTTGTATATACATAAATACACCAAATCTTATGCATAAATGTATCACCTATAAGCTAAAAGAAATGAAAAAATAAAATAAAAACCATTTTACCTAGTGATGCAAAAGCTGAAGAGCCTTTACCAAAGTGGGTTTGAACCTATTGACATCAAGCTTAACATTTTGCTTCTCCAAAAAAATTGACTTAAAAGCATTCCAGTCCTTCCCAATTGAATAAGGATCAGTAAAAACTGCATGATCAAGTGGGTATTGGTTTATCAATGTGCTCTCTTCTTTGCTTACCTTGTACTCCAAGTAATTGAGATTCATATCTTTTGAAGGCTCTCCAAAGTCGGTATTGGCAAGCCATTCAAACCCACCCACGGGAAGAATTTGAATGAAAACAGCATTTTCAGGAAGGAAAACAATGTTGGTAAGCCCAGCACCATGAACTCCAATCAACACATCACAAGAATTTACAATCTCCGAAATCCTCGCGAGGTTTGAATCAGCCTCCGCGACGAGTACCTTGTACCCCAAGCTTCTTGCGATTCTCCTGATTTCTCCTATGTTTGTGAAGGCTCTTGTTCTTCTTCTTGATAAGATCATAAGTCGCGGCTTTTTCCTGTGTCCCTTATCCCCGATTCGGATTGCGTTTACTCGCTTTAACGAATATGATTCTCTCAGAAACTCTTTGAAATCTCTCATGGAGTAGGAATGCTTTACCGGGTCGATGCTCATCTCTTTTGGGTGTCGTTTTAGACCGATTGTTGCGCTCGGGAAGCAGTGGATTTGCTCTTCTTTGTCAATGTCAATGACATCATATTTGGAAAGTCCTTTTAGTAGCTTTCGGAACTTTGTGATGAAATAAGGCCTATTATCAGTGACAAGAAACTGAACTTCTCTGTTGTACTGTCTAGAAGTTATGTACAAAGGAATAACCACGTCAGTGAACTCATGAAAGTTGTTTCCGACATAGCCTCCGGTCGAAAACAGGACAGCTGGGACGCTGTGATACCGAGCGCACCTCGGGGTTTCTAGGCCACCCTTTTCTGGTTTTAGCAGGACAGACCATTTTCTGACTTGACTCATTGCGGCTTCATCTTCCTTTCTGGCGTAAGGTCTTACGGTACTCGAGGAATTGTTGCCTTCTGCTGACATGTGCCGATTGGTTTGCGACGATGAAATGAAAAACACTGAGGAGGATTTTCCGTCGATCTTGACTTGTGTTTTGATCTCGCAGAACTCTGTTCTTGGTTCCTCTTTGTAGCAGGGTGGTGGCTGGATTTTCTCTGTCACAACCTCTTCGACTGCAAATCAATATGAGTTTAATTCAGATTGTTAGCTTTGAAGGGATGTAAAAAGTTTGTAGAGTACTTACTCAGTGTTTCAGAATCCTGATGACCAGTTTTTGCATTATTCTGTGAAGTAGTAGACTTTTCTACTTGAGGAGTAATCACATTTCTAGGCTGTGAAATATAATTAGAAATATTCTCTTCTTGAATGTCAATATTGCTCTCATTTCTGGATCCATTATTTGTGCTGATCATTATCTCCAAATCATAATGATCATGCCGCGAATTAGTAGAATTTCCTTCTAGAAAATGATCACTCAAATTTTTTGGCCCATCCATTGAGATCAACTTTTGCCAATTATTCTCATGCACACTTTTAGTGGTTTGCTGAGAGCTGTTTGCTGCTTTTACTGCTAGCATTTTGAGACCGATAGTGCCAATTGAGAGCTGCAAATTCACTGCAGAAAATAATGAAAAGAGTTAGAAAAAGACCTCAAAATGGAAACTAAAAAAAAAAAAAAAAAACCCCCAAAAAAAAGGGGGCACCATAACATGTGACGCAGAGAAATGGCTCATGAAGGACTTACAAGTTGGTAGAGGAGCCAAATTAGGCTTGAAGAAAGTGCAAAAGAGCAACATTACAAGCAAGCAGCAAACAATTGCTCCATATCCTAGTCTCTTTTGCTCATGCTTGCTAAAGCTTCTCGCAAGAATAGAATCGTACATCATTTTGTTGGTTCACAATTACTAAATGTAGCACTACACAACATGCAAAATTCTAAAATCCCATTTTGCATGTGGTAGCCTTTTTTTTTTTTTTTTTTTTTTTTTTTTATCAATAAGATATGAGCATTTAAAGCCTCTATAGCATATAGTACAAATCCTAATTTTTGAGTGGGGGGATTTAAAGCAAAAATGAAGTATTTGGATGCATGCCATTTTGTATGGCATTTGGAAGGAATTAGTTGGGGTGCATTATTTTTCAATGAATTGTTGCCCCCCCGTGCGCCCCCCCCCCCCCCCCCCCCACGACTTAGTTACGGTCCTAGTAGATTCTCCAAATTAAACTAATAAAATTGGGATGAAAAGGATCCTTTTGTTGACTGTTGGAGACAAACATAATTTTTCATGATTTTTTTATCAGATTATTTATTCATTTATTTTCCTTGCATGTATTTAGAATTAGTCGCCGGCTTTGGATTCCAGCTTTGAAAGCTATCCCTCAACTTCGAGTCTATAGAAAATTTTGAAATGTTTTTGTGATCATTTTCGTGTGTTACCATAAACTTGTACTCCTAGTTTTAGTTTTAACTAAGGGCCAAAAGAATGATTATTTACATTGTTTAATAATGAATTGCTTACGTGGTATTTAGTATGAGATTTCGTGTCATGATTTAAATTATAATTCGTGACTCATTATAATATTTTTTTTTATAAAAAATACATATAAATTAAAAATAATTTTAAATTATAATTCTGAATTTATGAACCAAACATCTACACGGGAAAATCGGAAAGCGAAACCGATGCAGGAATAATTTCTCGAGTACTGCAGCCGTATACGAAGTTTTGTAAACGGGTAGTAAATAATTAAAAGTATCTTTATAAATAACTCTGGTTTGACTTCCTTTCTTTTCTTTGTCACGTTAGTAATTAACACAAATAATTATAATGACTTGTAGTAATTACTATAAAATGATTTTACGTGACAATAATACAAGTAATAATTAATTAAAATCAGTGTTATTTGTGAAACATCTTTTGTTACTGCAACTTAAAAAAGTTAACCGTTGAGATTTGAGACAATGTGATCATATCGTAGTAGGTAGAAGTATGCAATTGGACTAGAAGTCTCTAATATTGTTAAGCTCAACGGTACAAAATAGAAATATTTTTCTAATTAATTTCATATGTCTCTCTTCAATCATATATTTCATGTAGTTTTAAATTGATTTATTATGTATCAAACAAAAAAAAAAATTTTAGTAATAATGTTACAGAATATATCATATTCACTTCCCTACTTGTTAAGTAAAAAGAACATGCTAGACGTGAAATATACAAATCTAATTCAAACAAATGACCCTAAGAAAGTTGTGGACGTTTGGTTCATAGATACAGAATCATGATTTAGAATCATTCTCATTTTACGTGTGTTTTTTGTGAGAGAAAAATACTGTAAATAATCATGAATCATAATTCAGAATCAATGACGAATACAGGAAACAAACGTCCCGATTCTTTATTCGTTCGTCTTTGAAAAAACACAAGCTTGAATGGCTCTTCCAACTTGTGGTTGTTTATTCCCTAATAGCGTGTGTTAGGAGACACGTCTAGTGATCATCACAAGCGTTTTTCTACGTGATCATATACAAATCAAATCCATTATTATAAAACATAGACGTCATTACGTTTTTATTAAATCCATTAATGACAAATAATTAAGGCAAAGAGAGATAGGGAAGATCAGGATTAATGTTGCACCTCAAAGTGCAATAATTTGTCGGCAGAAATCTCGTCTGAGTTTTGAGTTTTGAAAACATCAGATTATAAAAAAAAAAAAAGAAAAAAAAAGAAAAGAAAATGGTAGAGAGAAGAGAGGGACATTTTAACAATATTTGTCTCTCAGTTTTGGTGGGAGGCATGATGAGAAAATAGTAGAAGGGTTATATTTTAAATTTAGGTCTCTTCCAAGAAACAATACGTGTGTGCCTCGAATTTATTTATATATTGTAATCTGTTATTTTCAGAGTAGGATTGCTCAAGAAAATAATAGTAATTATAAGAGTTGTTAAAAAGATTACATTAATTAAACTAACCACTCTGGGGCCTAATCAAAATTCCCTAGATTTTGAAATTAATAAAAAGAATAATTAGTTCAATTTGTTTCTTTTTCATTTTCTCTTTTGGATTGTTTTTCCTTTTCTGTGTATATTTATGCGCTCACACACGTATATAAATTACTGCATGAAAAAGTTCAGGCAATATAATAAAATAGTTTGAACAATTAATTTAACAAGATCATCTTATAGACTTCATACGCGTATGGTTTCTTATATATCAATCTAAGTCAATGTTAGGTAGCACGTATCCAGCATTCACGCATGGTATAGTTTCTCGGTTTTTCTCCTTTTTATTTTCGTTTCCGAAAATTGTAACTAATGGCATTGTTTTGCATATAACATGTCTGTCAGGATCTCCTGCTCTGATACCATATTAGTTTACCAATTCATTTCAAAAGCTTAAGTTGTTAGGAGGTGAGCCGATAATAATTTTATATTTTAATAAAGTAGCTTATTTACTACAATCGTTATTAAATAGCATTTTTAATTTAAAATGAGTTTTTTTTTTTTTTTTTTTTTTTTTTTTTTTATAAAAGTAAAAAAGGATTTTTTTTTTTAAACTAAAAAATGAGTAATGTATTGTTAACAAAAAATCAGTAAATATTGATAGCATCCAATAAAAATCTTATACTTATTAAATTTGATCGGTAGATTTGACATTTAATTCTATTTAACTTATTTATATTCCCTGCAATATAATATATGTCGGTTGGTGTCACTTATCTTTCGGCAACGTTGCCTTAGCCAGTTTAACCGTTGGATTAAGTTAAATATGATTGAATGGACTTGTTTAAGTAATTAATAACGCAGCATAACATGTATAAATAATATATAACAATATGACAGAATTATTTCAAACATAAGTCTAGTAACTTTACGAGATTACGATAATAGAAACATGAAATGATGGAAAATTATGCTCATTACGAGGAGTAGTAGGTAGAGGAAAGGACATAAATACCCTTTTAAAGTGTATAAGTATAAATTTTTACCATTTACTCGTAATTATAAATTTTTACCATTTATTCGTAATTAATATTCTTTTCATCAAATAACTATATTATATAGTCAAAAGAGTATTAATCAAAGAGTGAATGATAAAAATCAAGACTTATGCACTTTTAAGAGTAAGTTCAGTAATTCTCTCTAGTAGGTATTACGGCGATTTGGTTAAAATAACGTGAAAAATAATTAAGTAGGCAAATCAATAAAATTATTACGAAATATTTAGGACCGTACAAATGGTAACATTGCAAAAAGATCATAAATGCAACATTACGTGTTGGTCTCAATAATTGTGTCAGTTACGAAAATAATAGAATTGTTAACACAATTTTATTAACACAGCAGAAAAACTAAAGAGGTGATAATAATAATACGATAAATAATTATTATAAACTAAGTCTAATAACTATACGAGATTATGATAACCTCTTACTTCACCTGTAAAGTAGAAAGGCCTATATACATATACATATATATATATATATATATATGTAAGATTTACCTCTGATTTTGTTTTGGCGGTTTGTTTTGCTTTTCAATTTTTCAATCTTAAAATGGATCAATTTGTTATTTTGTAGTATATGTGGTATAACAACTTTTTTATGCTTTCAACCAATATTGGAAATCCAATGAAGTGTCGGCAAACGTTTTTAATTAACAACAATCTGCTACGTCGTCATTAAAATTGGCCAAATGACACTATTATAAAAATAAGCTATTGAATAACAAAAGGTCCTATTAATTATTAATATTCTTAGTAAAACTCATACAGTTTTGTATATATTTTTGCCTCGTTCGTTTCGCTGATTCGAGTTTTGCTACAGTAAAAAGCTCTCACAAACAGTCACATTTAATTTTTTTACTACAGTAAAAAGCTCTCACATAAAATCACATCTCAACTCAAATTCTAAACTCGAATCAGCGAAACGAACGAGGACTTTGTATATGGCACGTTGGTAGGTAGCAGGTTGCGTAGACGGATATGAAATTGTCTCCTTTATTTCTTGTGAATTATTCGTTTCAACACATAAACAATGTGTACGGTTTGAATAGAGTAGTTTGTCTATTTAAATTTGTTGTATAATTCTCCATACGTATGTAGATATGTAGAGAATTCCATTTTCGAAATAGACTTTTTCCTTGCATTGAATTTTTGCAGTAATTTAACGATACTCCAAGAACCGTTATTTTTTTTTACCTGATCAACATTCGTTTACTAATTAATATGAAAAAAATTTTGATTATATATTCTCAACAACTCAGGAAATACACTACTGATCATTATATTATATCTCACGTCAAAAAAAAAAAAAAAATATATATATATATATATATCGAATTAGATGGCAGAAAAATTGGTAAATGTTACCTAATAATCAGAAGCAAATATATAAACAGGAAAAGAAAACAGCTAGAATCAACATACACTGACGTAGATCACATAATTCTTAGGAAATATTTGGTTCATGGATTAGAATCATGAGATTAGAATTATTTTTAATTTACATGTATTTTTTATGAGAGAAAATACTGTAACGAATTATGATTCAAATCATGGTATGAATCTTCTAACAAAACGTCCCCAAGGTATAAGTTGTAATTTATCAATTTTCTTAGGTTCGTCTATTTTATCAATTCAAATTTAAAATCTAAATTTTGTTATAATAAAAAACTCTTAAAAATAATCACATTTAATTTTTTTATTACAATAAAAAATTATCATATAAAATTACATCTCAATTTAAATTAAAAATTCAAATTAAGAACTCACCCTTACTTTTTTCATTTGTCGCTTTTGAAGTGAGAAAGCCCCTAAATAATTAAAGAAGTAAAAAAGAGGCAAAGCATCATATTATGTTTTTGGCATAGCAAGTACTGGGC